CTCGTGTTGGCTGTGGCAGCCACCCGCGCTGCGGCTCTGCGTGTTAAACGTAGCAAGAGCTGCCAGGCTCTCACTATACTTCCAATGCAGCGGCGCAGTGATCAGCGCGAGTCCAGCAGCCCCTGTTCACTGCAAACAGGCGCTGCTGCTGCTGTAGCCTCTGCTCTCAGCTGCAGCCCCTGTCTGCAGAGGGACACACGTCCCCGCTGGGACCCCTGCAGACAGAAGCTGCACCCCAGCTCCCCCGAGCTCCCAAGAGCTGCCAGGCTCTCACTATACTTCCAATGCAGCGGCGCAGTGATCAGCGCGAGTCCAGCAGCCCCTGTTCACTGCAAACAGGCGCTGCTGCTGCTGTAGCCTCTGCTCTCAGCTGCAGCCCCTGTCTGCAGAGGGACACACGTCCCCGCTGGGACCCCTGCAGACAGAAGCTGCACCCCAGCTCCCCCGAGCTCCAGCTCCTTTTTCCCACCCTTGTTGATAGAGGCAATAAGGGCGGGAGGGAAGCGACGATCGACTCGCTACTGGGCCATCCGATAAGCTTATGGGCTGGTCGACTCGTCGCTTACGTCCCTATTCTAGTCGGCTTTTTATTCTGCACTTGTCACCAGAGGAGCTGAGCACCTTCCTGGAGGGCATTAAATAACTCTTGATTTGCGAGGCTTTGTGGCTTATTCGTTCCATGTAGATCTGTTGCCACACGTTTGTATTAGAGGAGGCAAGTGAAAGAAACAGGCCTTGCATTTGGAGGGGAAAGCAGAGAGGCCAGTGACGGTCCAAAGAGCCTGGAGGAGTTCCTTGCCGAGTCTCGGACCCGCTCCGGGGAAGGTTCTGTCTCCTGCACAGATGAGATTTCACCCCTAGTGTTGGGAGCTCCCCTAGACCAGAGGAGCAAAGTTAACTCCTCCGTGTGTCTAGTCCCCCCAATTCTAATGAGCCTTTGCTGGCTCGCTGAGACTTCCCAGTCCCAGTGCTCTGGGACATGCTGCTATTCGAGGAAGTGGCTTGCTTCCCATTGAGGTGCAAGATCGAGAGGGCCTGGACGTGTGTGTGGCAAACAAGGCTCTTCCAAGTTAGAGCCGTTCCTGCTCAGGCGCGGGTTTGGTAGGGATCAAAAACCACATGCGCCATGTCTTCACCTGACCTCCAACAATTAGGGGCTACGATGACTCCTAAAAGGGAGTTTCCTGCCCCTTCTTGGGACTCATCTGGCCCTGCTCCCTGCCCTGTGTCCAGCAGCTGATGGAGCACGAGTCCAACACAGTCGGACAAATCCTAGGGAGTCAGATCTCGTTCTCATGACCTAAGAAGAGATTCTTCTTCCTTTGTCTCTAGATCTCCAAGACAGGCAAGGAGCTCAAGGAGTACATAGAATCCATGGCAGCAGAGGATCCTCTTTTGAAAGGCGTCCCTGAAGATAAGAACCCTTTTAAGGAGAAGGGAGGCTGTGTCGTTAGCTGACCCCCGCCACACACAGACAAACTTCAGACCTTTTCCGCGTATACAATCGAGACTGAGAATTTTGCTTTACCCTGTAGCATGACCCTGCCATTGGCTAGGGCATCCCCAAAACACAAAACCCATTTGGAAGGTAGCACATCTCTGGGAGAGGGGCACAAGGCCATTGGAGACATTCCTATATTTAGCAGCGGGAAGGCAGCCTGCTCTCTAGGTCCCCAAAGCCGATTTCCATTTAGTTTAACACACACACGCACGCACACGCAATGCTGAACTTGCTGCACTTCTGTCCATCCACACACAAACGGGGCATTAAGAAAAGTCTGACCCCCCAAAGCTTAACTCCCGACTTGACCTGCCTAGCACAAGCTGGAAGGCAATTCCGCCTGAGCAAGTCACTTAACCCGGCGACAGAGTTTCCCCCCCGTAGCACAGGGATAATAAGGTTCATTCGCCTTTGGCAGAGCACACAGAGATCTGTCTGCAAGGTGCTAAGTATTGTTAGAACTGTCATGGCCAAGAATTTGTGAGGGTCTGATCAATTGACATGCCACGTTGCCAGTTACTTGGATGTTGCTCATTTATTCATGACATTATTTGGGGAGAGACAAACTCCACACACACACACACACACACACACACACACACGTTCCCCGGCATCTACCTCCAAATATGTAAGTAATTTACCCTCTACAACACAAACTCCCTCGTCCCATACAAATTGAGTCCAGCGAGGCGTACCCAGGAGCGGGAGATAATACGGTATCGTTGATAGGGAAAGGCACCATGGAGAAAGGTTTGCAGGGGGATTCCTGCGCAGTGGGAGAGGGCAGTGGGGAGACGCCCATTGGGAGCTGCGGTTACTTTGGAACTCGCCAGCATTCATGTTGGGAGCAACCTGAGCCTCCTGCTCAGCTCTGCGGAGTCCGGCGGCTTGTGGATGGACGTGGCGGCGGCGTGGGGGAGAAGCAAGCGTGCAAACAGGAAGGCACAGAGCCGTGCAAATGGGAAGTAAGCTGGAGGTGAAAGGCTCCGTGTGCTCCAACCCAGCCTGGGGGGGCTGAGAATTGTTCCTCAGCTGGCCAGGCCGTGGCTGGGGTGATGCTAGTGAGGGGGTCTCACTCCAGTTCTCAGTGGGCTAGGTCCCCCTAAGCTGCTAGAACTTACCTCCAGCTCAGCAGAGAGACCAAGTGCTGAATGAGCCGTGGACTGCGACGTATCCCTCCTACGACAGGGCTGAGGCCTTGGCTGGGCAGCCTACGACGGTACCCTTGCCACCTCCCGTCCACCGGACGAAGTGCAGCAGGTAACCACCACGGCTGAAATGTTCCAAGCGCTGATGGGAATTTGATTGTCTTCATTTTTGGGGGCATCCCCGCCCCCCCAAAACTCACTGGCCACTTGTGCAGTCACTGAAATTGGTAGCTCCCAACTTGTCGAGGATACGGACCCCTTCTCAATCGATGAAACCTTTGCAGACCATCACCCCCCCCCAAACAACAGAGCTGTGCCTGCCGCCTGCACATCCCTCCGAGAGGTGTCCTTCAGCCCCCTGGGGAAGCAGCACGGGCTGAAGGATGAGCCGGCTGCCTGCATGGAGCCTTGAGCCACGAGGCTCCGTGCCGGCAGCCAGCAAGTACCTCATTTGGCTCTGCTTCCCTAGCCACAGGAAGCAACACGGCTTGAAGGATGTGCTGGCTGCAGAGGCTCTGCGTGGACCCCCTACAATACCTCTGTGGACCCTCAGGGGTCCACAGACCACAGGCTGGGAACCACTGACCTAAATCAACAGAAAAAAATGCAGCTTGAAAGTAAGACAGCAAGGGATCCAAGCTTCCTGTCTGAGGCAGGGCTGTCTACACCACCACCGCTTCCCCTGTGAGTCAGACACGTGGTTAGGACCACGGCACGGACCCCTCCAGCATCCTGCAGTAGAACATTTGGTATTTACAAGAGAGATGTTGTAAGCAGGCCTATAGCGCTGTAAGATTTTGTAGTGTAACGACAATAAAGGCTTTTTCAGCAAAGGAATGGCCGTTCTCTTCCCTCCCGTATGAAAAACAAGTGGCATGTGGCCAGCTTAGCCTTCGGTGCCTGTTGTAGCAATTCTGTGCTCCAGCACGGCCAAGCACCAGCGTCTGATGTTTCAGTGGCAAAGCAGAAGTCAGAGCAGGATTGGCTTAGTCAACACCACAGAGGAGCAAATCTCTAGAGTGGGCTCTTGCCTCGCATGATTTCCATCAGCCCCTCCACCTCTTGCTCTAACCTGAGGCTCGATCCTGGCCAGTGCTGAGCTCCCTGGGAGTGCAGGGGGCTCAGCTTTCTCATGACAGAGCCCGGCTCCCACCGAGAGGTGAGTGTGAGGAGGGAGAACGAACACAGAACTACTTTTCTGAGCCAAACTGAGTTATGCAATTCCTCTGTGGCCGCTTGCATCCTGTGCGATGTCTTGGACGCAATTTGCAGAAGGAGTTCTGTTAATTCTATTGTGGCGTATAAATAAATCTGCTGAATAGTCGAACCATTGCCTGTTCTTTTGGGGGGTAGGAGTAGTTTCGAGAAGTTCCTGATTTTGCGGGTCGAAATACAGAACCCGCTGCTCAAGTAATCTGACAAAGGGCAGAGTCACCCAGCCAAATCTTCCCTGGAGAGAAATTCCAAGGGAAGTTCATGGGAATTTAGCCCAAGCAGGATTAGCAAGGTTTGGCCCATGGCTGACACTAAAGGATGAGCATCTGACATCCTTTCAAAGGGGCCTTCCAGTCAGCACACATGCTCCGCTGTTTACTAATCGAGACAAGCATCTTCAGGTTCAAAACAAGACCCAGTTTCAAATCCACCGTCCCCATCTTCCTCTCCCAATGGCCTCTGTTGGAATGCATCACCTGTCACGTCAACAGCAAGCACTTACAAAAAGGGAAAACTTGCCCACTGTTAAGAGTTTTGCTCTTTGCCAATCTGAGAAGGAGGGGAGCTAGGTCAAATATACCCAGGTATTACTGTTCTCAAAGTAGAGTGCCCTATTTAATCTCAGCTAAGCTCTTTGGCACCTGCGTCAGAATGAAATAATCTGTTCTAAAGGGATTTGGGTTTCTGGGCCTTTCCTGTGTGATTGGCCTCTGCTCTTTACAAAAGATTTACCAGCTCAGGAAGCTGGGGTTGTAACCAGCCTTTTGAATTTGCTTAAGCAGCATGGACCGCTTGGACCCTGACTGCAGCATCCTTAGACTCTCCTGGAGCAAGCAGGCAACTCGAATTCTGGAACTTTTTAGATTCCACTGGCTGCTACAAGGAGCTCCGTGTGAGTCAATGGAATTTGCTCCACAGCTCAGAGCCAGCTGGAGTTTCTGAGGCTCAGGACCCTTGTACACTACAGCGGTGGAGAAAGAGGCAGTGGTCGGTGGCAAGCTTACCAAGGCATTCCTAGTGATGGGGGGAGCGGGGAAAACCAAACCCACCCTTCCAGCATGGCGTAAGAAGTGCTACCCTCAAGAAATTAAAATGCGCAGGCTGCTTACAGCCACGGTCATTGGTACAGGCTGCTATATTTTTGCAGAACATTTAGGCAATATCACCCAGTCGTGCCAATATGAAGGTTCCTACAAAAGGTAACCCTCCCTAAAAGAATGTGGGCGTTTGCTCCCCTTTAACAAAAAACAGGGCTGGGTAGCACTTTAAAGACTAACAAGATGGTGATTTTCTTCCACTATTTGATCTGAGGAAGTGGGTCTGGCCCACGATAGCTCATCACCTAATAAACCATCTTGTTCGTCTTTAAAGCACTACACGGTCCTGGTTTTTGCTTCAGCTGCACCAGACTAACACGGCTGCATTTCTACCACTGCTCCCCTTTAGAACCTCCTCCACAGACAATGTGAGAACATTATTTCTGCCCAGGTGATGCTTTGGCTCAAAGGGACGAGTCATCCTTTTAGATCAGGTTCCAGATTTAGACCCCACATACTAGCCCAAGGAGGTCAACCGTACCATCTGCCTTTAGGGAGAACTGCTCCCTCTCTTCCAGGAAGACTTCACTATAGCCCCCTTCTGCAGCCTGTGAATCCCCCTTTAAAAGATGCACCATTGAAGAGTGCAGGTCTGAGCCGAGAAACAGTTCTGCCGACAGGTAACCCCCGGATTTCGTGTTTATCATCCCTCGGCCTCTCCAAATTAAGTGTGTTTCACTTCCCAGCAGCAGCCAGCCTCCAAACCTCCCTTGGTATTTAGCCTAAAACTGGGTTACTCCTGGCATACATCATCACCAGGAACAAGCAGCCAAACTCTGCCCTTGCTTCTGTGATGCTCGTGTCTTTACATCCTGCACGCATTTACAACCATTACCTCCAGACCGCAGATACAACAAGGCAGAGGTTGGCCCCGTGATCAGAATTTAATTAAAACCTGTTGCTGCTGATGAGCCAGCTCTGTCTCGTTATGGTGGTGTGTCAGCTAAGAGAACTACAATCATTTTTTGCCACTGAAAGGCAAAAGTTCTGACTCCAGTTGGAGTGTCAAGTGTAGGGCAGGTAAATAAGGGGAGCATGTTTACCTAGCCACCTCCTGCAAGTAGCACCACCCTGGCAGTGGCAAACTATTGCAGAGTCCTGGCTGGACATGCACATCTGAGGAAGAGCAAAGAATGAGCCTCCATCAGGTCATTTAGGGTTTCCAGTTTTTCTGCCGGCCATGTTCTCAAAGCTCCTAAATCCCAGCCCCGTTTGGGGAGCAAATCTGCATTTTGGCTGCAATTTGGCCCCATTTTCATAAACTCGTAGGAGACGCCACAGCCGTGCACACATTGGCACCGACGTTGCAATGTGGACACACTCCCCAGAAAAACTTCCAAACAAACGGCGAGCTTAGGGCGCCAAGTTAAATGGGGCACCAAATGGTGGCGCAATATCATTGAGGGGTTTGGAAGTGGGGGTGCCGATTGCATGGTTCGCCTAGGGCAGCCCCTGCACGCATGACTCCACAGCAACGCAGCTGCCGGTGGCTCACGACATACCTAGCGCTGGGGAAAAGCAACGGGGCAGTGAAGTAACACTGGAGGCCACAGGGGCGGTGCAGATCCTAGCCAAGTGGGCAGCAAGGGCTGGGAGGAAGGGCTGGGTCAACGCCGGGATTCGAAGGAGCTGTGCTTTAACACTGCTGCTCTGTTTCAAACCCGCTGCTTCAGGGAGCTGCTGTGTCAGACACCCGGCTAAACGGGGCAAGTTACTTTAGGCCTGGTGCACCTCCATCGCGCCAGGCCACGTTGCACACCCGTGGGACCCATTCACACCCTAACAGCCAGGCTTTGGGACCAGGCAAAACCCCCACAGCCAGTCAATACCAGCATACCCCACCAGGAGGAGAAATTGAGGCACAGAACAGAGCAGATGTGCTCACAGTGATAGAAATGTAGCCGTGTTAGTCTGGGGTAGTTGAAGCAAAATGCAGGACAATGTAGCACTTTAAAGACTAACAAGATGGTTTATTAGACGAAAGCTCATCATCTAATAAACCATCTTGTTAGTCTTTAAAGTGCTACATAGTCCTGTATTTTTTTTAAATGAATGATTCAGATCCATTGTCTTCCCAGTGTAGCTGAGACTTCTCTGGTAAAATTACGTGTGTTACCAGGTTGTTTAATTCTGGATACCAGGTGTGGGGGCTGCAGCTTGGCTCTGGCTGGCCGTACCCAGGGAAAGGGGGTGCGCGAGAGACCGGGCAGGGTTTGGAGCAAAGGGCAGGAAAGCTCCTTTATGGGGGGATGGCTATAGAGCAGCCCCCCAATACGCCGAGGAGCCCACTACAGAGCCCCCAATCCCAGAGGAGTAGCAGGGGATGGGGCTCCCTGGGGGGGCCAGGGTGGGGGTTCCCTGCCAAGCCCCCAATCCAGGGGCGTAACAGGGTGTTTTCTGCAGAGCCCCCAAAACTGTGGGGCCCAAATCCCCAATCCTAGCCGAATCCCAGGAGGAGCCAGAGCCCCCCCCAATCCCAAGGGGAGCAGTGTGTGTGCGTGTGGGGGAGTCCCTGCAGAGCCCCCAATCCCAAGGGGAAGAGTGTGTGTGTGGGGGGGGCGGAGGGAGCACTAATCCCAGGAGGAGCCAGAGCCCCCCCCAATCCCAAGGGGAGCAGTGTGTGTGTGCGGGGGGGGGGCATGCAGAGCAC